AAATTCAAATATGAGAAATGACGGGATTGGATGGCATGCTCAAAAAGAACAAGATGAGCAAAGCCTCCTTGCCAAAAATCAGCCCTTTAGTGCAAATTGTTTATGCTCTGATGACTCCAGTCCTTCTAAAATTGGTTTGGATCGTAGCGTTTACGATCCTCGTCTATGTTGCATAAAACCTTCTTAAGACAAGAGGGCTCTTACCTCTTGTTCTGGAACAATAACCTATTGTTTTGAAATAATAGTTGCGAGTTCCCTTAATCTTAAGATGTTTTCTGCAACCCGACCTATTTTAGAAGGATATATAATTGTAGTCATCGGAGCATAAAAACGCTTATATCTCCCCGCCAACTTGCACTAACAGTCTAAATTTTGGCAAGTGAACATTTCTCATCCTGTTCTTTCTGGATATGCCACCCTCTCCCATAATTTCACAAATGTAGTTTTTGTGACGTCATCACTTTCTCGTCTTTGTTGTTCATACTCACTTGGTGTTGTTTCATTAGTTGTATGGCATGACCGTAGATGATATCACTTACAAGACACTGAGAAATAAGGACTTTAAGGAAGTCACTTTACAGGTACAGCTTATGTCTAGAATTGGTTAAGACCGGGAACTGTTCAATGAAATTTTAATTTCCCTCGCCGTAGCTGTTTCTTTTACATTCCATAACACTTGTAAAAGCTTTTTTGAGTTGACTTTTAGTAGAATGATAGTGATCATACGTTTTTATTCGTGCAAGGTGGACGGTCAAGATGTCCTGAAATTTGCAGCAGCGTATGGATTTAGAAATATTCAGGTGCGTATATTGGGCCAGTGTCGCTAGTAATTTGCACAGCAGTTAGCCAATCTTTGGTAAAAAGAAAATTCTGTTATTGTTTCTTTATTCTTCATTCCAAAAACTATGAGGACGATGGGTGAAAGCTGTCCGCTCAACGATATCTGAGATTGTTTGGGCGGACAAGCGTCACTTATGATTGGTTAATGGTTGCCTTGAATACCATCGACCAATCATAACAACGCTTGTCCACCCAAACGATCCCAGAAATCACTGGGGCCAAGGCTTGCACCCGTTCTCCCTGGAGCTTTTATAGTGGGGAATTGCAATTTTGTATGAAAGTGAATATATCAAGTTAAACCTGTTAAACTTGCTTTGTCTTGCGTAACCTAGTGTGAGATCATGCCCTCTCTTTATTATCCCTGGTTATGTGTAACCCGTCTTTACTGCCTATTAATTACTTTTTGTTCGTTTGTTTGTAGAATCTTGTCCAAAAGCTCAAGCGCGGTAAATCTCCTTACCATTTTGTGGAAGTTATGGCCTGCCCATCAGGTATGACTATAATTACAGTTAGGCTACGTTCCCACGTAGACTGTTCACAGTCCCATTTTTTCCCGTAAGATCGTCAAGCACTTTGGGTTACAAGCAGCCATTTTGGATGAGTGTCAAAACTACTTAAGGGACAGGGGACGGTTTGGGAGGAAGCGCCTCCTAACTAGTTTTGACACTCATCCAAGATGGCCGCCCGATCGATCTCGACGATCTTACGGAAAAATAGGGGACCGTGAACAGTCTAGTTTTTACGGCCCGGGACGAATTTTCGACCGGGTTAAGAAAACGTCATCAGACACTTTCCCCACACAGGACCGTTTAATACTTACGCTCTATTCACCCGGAACTTGGCGTCTAAGTTTTCGTATGCGCCCCGATTAAGGTGGTGACGTGTGAAGGGAAAACCTAAACACACGAATTTTTAACCGATCGAAAATTTGTCCCTTGCCGTGTGAAGGTAACCTTAATCAGCCTGCCTGTTAGTTTAGGTGTCCAGTTAGTGGGGAGGCGAGCAAAAAAAAAGGGGTCGTTAATTCAAGGCATAAAGATTAGCGAATATCTTTCACATACAAAACATATAGACGAAAAAGTAAGACGTCTTTAGTCACTGGCGCCCTTAAATGCATAAGACCGCTCATCTCCGAAAGTACCGCTCTCTAAACTTGCCAACTGTTTGTCTTACCCCGCCTTGACTACTGTAGCTTTGTTTGGGGGTGAAAGCAACATTACTCTGAATGAGCAATAGCTACAAGATTCCAAAATACGGCTGCTAAATAGGGTTGAGAAGGTGTAAATGTTTTCTGTTTGTCTTATTTTCTGTTACAGGCTGTCTCAATGGAGGTGGCCAAATAAGACCTGGCGACGGGGAAACGTCAAAAGAATTGTTGAGTAGATTGGATGAACTTTATAATTCACTCAGGTATCAGCTGCTAGTTGTTTTTTCGTTTGTCATTGCATTTATTTTCTCTTGGCCCGACATTCAAAATTCAGTAGCTCTGACCCGCAGTTATTGAGTACGCTGGAGGTACTTTGAGACAGCTTGGACTGAATCGGCTTTGAATGGTGATAAGTTTCAAGTGGGTTGACACTCGTAGTCGTGCAGCAACGACTAAGAAATGTATCAAAAATTGCGACACTCACGGGCTTAGTTGTTGCCCTGCTTACAGCTGTGCTTACTCTTAACCTATCGCTCTTTGACCTTCTCTTTACCGTCGCCGTTGCTAAAGCTCCTTACTAACGCGCGAAAGACAAATCATTGCCAGGAACGGTTTCGAGGTAATCTTTATTAGTTTGCCGTTTCTTTTCAGTCAAAAATGCGACACTTTTGGTTTTTTTTTTTATAACCACTAAACCTTATTTTTTTTTGTCTTTTTCGTATTACAATTTTGGAGTGGGTGCTAACGTTAATTGTGTTTTCGCTTAGATCAAGAAAACCAAGTGAGAATCCAGCAGTGGAAAAGCTATACGAGTGAGTACCTACACTAGTCCTTTCAAATTTATCTGTTAGTTGTTTACGAAAATAATAGATGAATTATATCCAGGCTTTATTTCTATTTTGTTCTTGCCAAACTACTCTTTTTATACTTCTGTACATTTTTCAGTGAATGGCTAGGCGGGGAATCTTCTAAGAAGGTAGGAATATTTACGTCAGTTTCATGAGAAAGAGCAACTGCTGACAATTGAACTATATAGTTTTAAAAAAGGGAGTGTAAACCCCTCATTTTTATTTTTTTGTCTTCGTTTACGAACGTTCCTGAAGTTCTGTCATGTCACAACTAATTCATCTTGTTCATATACTCAGGCAAGAGAGATGCTTCACACAAAATACCACGAAGTCGAAAAATTAAATACGGCACTCAACATTAAGTGGTAACTTTTGATTAAAGCCGAATACTGTCATCGCTCCGTCTCACGTGGGTAAATAGACGGAATAAAACACCGGTGATAAGACAAGAGAACTGCCTTTTTCGGATTGAACAGAGCGATTGTGTTGGGGACCGCCCGGGAGGATACTTCTGGTACAGATAGGAAAGTGAAAGTATCGGCAGACCGACCTTACATTATATCATCTCGTGCTGTTGGAAGCAGGAGAGGACCCTGGGAACGAGGTCAGAATTGCCTCATATAAGGGAATCCAAGACAGTATTGGATTCTGGATTCCTTGTCACTGGAGTAAGTTTGGATTCCAGATTCAAGTGGTTCGCTAGATTCCGCATTTCAACAGCTGAATTCCGGATCCCACAAGTTTGACGACCAGCACTTCCGGGAAACTTCCACCAAGATTTGTCATTGCATAGGATTGCTATGAAGCTGATTGAACCTTCCACTCATGTTCAAATAATGGAAGTTGAACGTTTACCAACAAAGAACTTGACACGTAGGGCAACTAAACGTGAAAAATACATGGCGCTCATTTTCATTTTAAAATGTGATCATTTCTCGGGTATGGAGACTAAACAAACTCTCGTGAAAGAAAGGACTAAACATGTGCCATACGCATCTATCATTTCGCTGGACCTAATTCACCTATTGGCCGTTTTTATACTTTTGACGCCTTAGGGACGTTATTAAAGCAAAAGTGGTTTTGAGCGACGCACGTCAACCGGAAGTGACGCTACCAAATTTGTATTTCTTAGTGTCTTTACTCGCATACAGATGATTTGCCCGAAAAGTTGGTCAAAATCACGCCCCAAGATTGCAAAAAGTCCACTTCCGGTTGACTTGCGCCGCTCAAAAACGTCGTTGCGTAAACTCTGTATTCCTTCCGCACGAACTTGGGCAAACTCTTGACTTAGACTACCTCGAAAATTTAATACCATAATCACTGGATTTAACGCCGCGGTGTTTGTTAAATTTTACGCTTTTCTAACGGGTATTTATTTCAAAATCGCATTTCTTTAATCACTGACAAAAATTGCGGTAAATAATTTGTAAATACTATGTGAAACAGAAAGGTGTTTAGAGTTCCACTCTCGCCTATTGTTTCTGAGATCTAGTTGTCTGAATGGTGTAGACTTCCGAGTTGTACCAAGTTTTTTTTCTATAATCCTCGAAAAAACGCATCATCCTTCTAATTGGGTGCGGTGATTAATCGAGGGCGGCGTTTAAAGAGTAATTACGGTAACGGTTTCCATTCTAAACATGCGAGCAATGTAAGATTGAGAATTATAAGAAAGTAAAACACCAAGCTGAACAATTAGAATTCTACTAGCTGAATTTAATAACGTCACTGACTGAAATAGCTTGGTATACGATAAAATGTCCGAAGCATGAGATATACGGACGCCTATTTATTGTTGACCTCAAAGCCTTGCAATTGTACTAACACTCATAAGTAGTAAACAAATTCAACACACCCTTTATCTTAAATAACTGGGACAATTTTTCGGATAAAAGACAATAATGCGTGGATTGAAGACCCACTAGTTACTTAAAAAGATTTTATGCTAAGCTGTAAAACTGTACTTTTGAAAATAAAGTCATTGAGTAAATCATCAATTTTCGTATATTATTTTTTTAAAAAAATATATAATGAAATAAAATATTGTTCTGCCAATGGTTGGAATTTTAAAATAAAAAAATTCGTATATCAACTCCCCTCCCATCTGCAAAACAGAAAGAAATCTCGCTACCCTCAGTAACGTAAGAGTTGCTAAATAGCTCTAGCTTTAAAACGGATGATGGGCGGCCAACATACTAAAATTCTATCCAATTTTTATGCCAAAAAATGTATAAAAAATATTGATAAAAAATATCCTAAACTGGAAACAGATACAGGAATTGAGTTGAAAAGTGTTGCAAAGGTAAAAAATTCTTCGAAAAATTTGAACTCGGTGTCGAGAAATCAATTAGAATTCTTATGAAAAGTAGGATTTTTTTACATTATCTTGCGTTCAGGCGTTAGTTTTCTTTTTCCTTCTATTTTGATACCATTATCAACATTCTGATTTCGGCCTTGAGACTGTCTCCTTGAGTGCTATGACTTCAACTTTTTTGTCCTTTAACGGCGCTTTTAGCGAAGTACGTCTAAAGGATTATTGTCAAGAAGTAATCTGCTCCAGTTTACTTGACGTAAGGCAAACAGCCATATCAAGAAAATTTCATTCTTTTTCAAGAACATCTAAACTTCACAAAGGCGTCGAAGACCATTAAATTAGTATAATTCTTATTCACCTAACTGGGTTGATGACTGTTTAGAGGAAGAGATAGACGTTTAGAAACATCTGCTAAAAGTTGGGCCGTGGTGGTGGGTGTTTCTATAGGAACAACTTTGTTAATGTCTGTGAGTTTCATCACGGGGGTGTTAAACTGAAGGTGCGCCAAACTTCCAGATACTGGAGAAGAAGAGAACATTTCAGCGCTGCTAAGGTGATGCATGGTTGGAAGTTGAATGGTTAAGGCTTGTTTCGATGGGATTGCGTTACCCGAATTTACTGGTTGGTTTCCCGCCAACGATTGCTGGACGTCACCCATTGTCACGCAAGGTGTCGTGAATTCAATTACTGAAGACACTTGGGACAAATCCACATTACCAGGCTCTGGAGTAGGAGTGAGAGACCTGGGACTATACAGCAGTGGTGTGTTGACTGTTTGCCCCATTACCTTGATTAGCTGGTCAGGAGAAGGCGTGGAATTGCCCGAGGGAGGTGTGGCTGTGGCCCAAAGGACTGACCCTCCGTTACCCGGTTGGGCAGGAATCTGAAGGAAGATAGTGTTACTAGGACACGCGTTGTTAACTTGCATGGGGCGTTCAGTGGCTGGAAGAATAGGAGTCGGCGTCAACGCGTGCGGATTGGACATGGAATTTAGTGCACAGTTGTTCTGAAATTGAATCGGCGAGGGCGTGGCAGAAGCCTGACGGGAGCTCTGTAAAGATCCAGGGTCTTTCCACGGGGACTTTAACTTGCGGTAATAGCTAAGTGGTTTTAGAGGGCTTACGTCGTCGATAAGACTCGCCTGAATGGCAACTGAAGACTGTTCTACAAGCTCATCATAAGGTAACGGAGACGACGACTGGTGTACCATCATAGGACGGCTTGGTCCTGGGTTAGGGAATGCCTTCTCTAACTCACGTTCCATGCGTTTCCACCGCTCATCCTGTGAATCAAATCCTCGCTGCTCTTCTAACAGTTTCTGTTGTTTCTGTCTCTCCAGCAGAATCTTTTGTTCAGGAGAGGAATGATCAAGAGAAGGCTTTGGACTTGATTGTTTTGGGCTGCAGGGCGTAAGATCCTTTTTTCCATTGTCGATGCTTTTGAACGGCGAAGTGGATGAATGTGAGAATCCGTTGTCGGACTTCTGCTGGATTGTCGAAAAATCGTCGGCACTTCGCCTTCGCTTGGGCTCCGGAGCATCTTCAAGTTCCGCTGTACCAGAGATAAACAGTGACCGCCGACTTTTTCTGGCATCAAAATCATCCGAGTGTCTGCACGCGGACAGCAGCTGTGACATTCGTGAGAAGAGTTAAGGATAAAAAGAGCCAAAAATAACTCAGAAAGGGTACATAGAGTTTTGCAAATGATCTCTCGGGTTGAAAAAGCCGTTGATAATGAGTTTGACAAATTAAGTACCGACAAATCTCCAACATCGAGAGCAAGTTCTCCACTATGAACCCGTTGACACGGGTCTGGTCAAACTTTTGAACGGGCGAATTTTTCACCTGTGCAACCCGTTTACACGCTATCGCGAAAATTCTGTAATCAAGGCTGTCACTAAGATTTCAAGTTGCCAGGGAAATACAGCAAAGTAGGCGGGGAATCAAACAGCGAGGGATTTCTTTTGGTGGGCCACGTTCATAGTAGCCAGTGAAAATCCCCGGCCCCTGTCTCTTAATGACAGCCCCGTGTAATGTTACATTGCTGTTTACACGAGTCCGTACAAATTTTGCCATTGTCAGCATTGGAATGGCTTTTCTTTTATCACAGGCGCGTAAATAGGCTCCAGGCGTTTACCGCGCAAACTGTGCACGGTTCAGGTGTTTACACGTGTCCGCGTAGAGGTGGAACCGTACCGGTAAAAAATGTTCACCTACTTCTGATCAGGTCAAAAACTTGCATGGATCCTTGCAAGTGGTGTTTAAGAGTCTTGAAAGTGGAAGGTTACACGTGAGTGAGCCGCGAAGGATTGTCCTTGACCCTCGTTCTGAGTTTAATTTCCTTTCCCCTCCCGAGATGGGGGAAATTGTTCCTTTTAGATTACAGTTCGATAACCGGCCAAGTAAAAAGATAGTGAGTAAATAACCAGGTAAATAAAAGGATATGATCTGGGTATTGCTGGTGTAGTTTCTTCAGCTCTGCGCGGAATTTTGCCTCTGTCGGGCTTCCGGCAGACAGATCAGCACCTGTCAATTCAGGGGGGGAAAAAAATGCCGGTTTAGTTTCTGGAAAACCTTACATCACAGTACAGTAAATATATTACAATATAACCGACATCGCCTTTGTGTAATCTGCACCCATAAATGAACTTACCGTAAGAGGCTGTAAGTTCTTGAACTGAAAAGCCATCTTCCTCCCCGCCACAATGTTTTTTAGTACCAAGAACTCTTTCCGATTGTGAACGAGGCAGCTTGCATTTGCTGGCATCTGGATCCTCTGATCTGAGCTGCTGTTGACTCGGCCTCCGCCTTATAAGGCGCCCTACAGCACCTGTCAAAGATAACACAACTTGTGTCACGCAATCCGCAAACTGGAATTTCCTTGAATTAAAATCTGCGAGGGACCGGGAACGAGTGTGGAATGTAAACATGTCAGCTGCAAAGGTTCTTTATTCTCACGGTAAGTGTCCATTTTTAATCTTCAAAGATTTTTTTTCTTTAGAACTTGGACTGTATGTGTGTGTTTGACTAGCAGTGCAAGATGTAACAGTATCATGTCACTCCATTTGTGGCATATTTAAAGTTCTCCACTTACTTTCTCCTTCATCAAGGCCACGGCTTTTCTCTTCGCAGATTCTCTTTACTGATGGTGGTTTTTGAATTTCATCTAAAGGGAAAAAGGATAGATTGAAATCAAACCAAAGATTTCAATATTTAAGTACTTTATGGTACAGAAACTTCTTTCTTCTTTGTGACGAAATTACACTACTTCTCGGGACTTGCACTTTACAATTTTACTAAGGAGTGGCAAATTCCATAAAGTACATAATAGTTTAAAGCGTATCGGAGAAGGTGCAGATGCAGACATTCTTTTGGCACATCACACAATCATGACTCCTTCCAAACACTGGGGAGGATCGTGCGATGAGCCAAAAGGATGTCTGAATATGAAGCCATGAGGGGGCACGCGGGGCTGGCCTGGGTGCAGGGGTGACTTTTTTGTAGGGTTGGATGGTTCCTCTAGACCTTTCTCCTTGGGCAGGCCCTCCAGCTTGAGGTACCACTAGTAACAATACCTTGTGGACCCCCATACCCATAATTTTATTTCTATGGCCATGGTGCAACAAAAGTGCTGTCCAGTAGCCTGCACGAGCTAGTAACTTGCATGAAGGGCAATTGTTTTGTAAATTTTCATCCTCGACGTTGACTGACGGTACATATGTACATGTCATATGAAAGAACAAACTTAAAGGCCACGTGGCATCACACTACCTTAATCTCTCTTCAAGTTTAAACAGGTTAAACAAGTGGAAAATGTTGGTTGCTCACTCTTAGGTTTCAACTGTTTTTCCTTAACTGAGAACTTTTTTATTTCTGGTTTTGAAGTTCAACAGCGAAGCTATGGCAAAAGGAACAGATTTTTTTTATGCATGGTATACTTACCTTGGGTATAGGCCACTAATTCTAACTTGTCAGGGTCAATTCCTATCCATCTAAAACCAGGTTTCCTCCCAGTCTGAATGCTATGAATATGAACTTTTTCTATAAGTTGAAGACTTGACAAAATGTTGGCAATATCATAGAGTCGTCGAACTTTAGCTGTTGAGGAAAAAAGTTTTGTTATGAACATGTTTAGGGTTCTCCTTAAGTGATACAACTGAGGTAAATAGATAGTTCCAAATTGACACTAATTAAGTTCTTTGCATACTCTTAAGTGGCATAGTAAGTACTGCAAACAAAGATATCAGATCATGCATCTAGTGGTCGCCCGCGAGAGGTTAAAAAAATGGAAAATTTTAAAACCATCACCCCAAAGAGTGGTTGCTGTTGCTTACAAAAGGCTCCAACTATGAGGCTTTGACTGGGAATATTTTGGTGTTTTGGTTAGACGGTTGTTATGAGTGGTGGATGTTCACAAGAGGGGGCTGCACATGGAGGTTTGACTTTATTTGATTTAAGGTGAGTAATGGTTAAAATTATAGATCTACAAAAAAAAGTCTAAACTGGTTTGGCTGTTTAAATTATCTTACTTTTATACTTTGTCTGGCCTTCTTCTTCATCTCCTATCAAGACATTGGCTGCATCCTCCAAAGTTACATATCGATTCTGATTGAACAAAAGTGACAATTCTGTTGAACCTTTGTGTATCATTATTAATTTTTTTTGGTCTTTGTAAACATCTCTTGTTATTAATATAGGTAATAGCATGATTTGTAGCGATATTTGGTTTAAATACCAGGAGTGATGTTTCAAAATTATTATAAGTAATTTCACAAGCCATTAGATGAGTGAAATTTGAGACAATTTTGAAATATCATGAGTAGTATTTATGCAAAATATCACATACAAACAATATACTACTACCCAAAAAAGGTTTGTAATTTTCACATGTAGGTATTTCAAATTAAGCTGAAATGCCATTGCTCTAAGCCAATCAAATTGCAGAAATTTATCATTTAGTAGTATAACAAATGAAATATCATGTGGTTAATAATAACATATGAGCTTGACTTTACCTCAGAAACAAGAAACATCATTAAGAACTTTTGACTAAGCACTCCTAGGGACTTGTCTTTTCTGCAGTACTCACTTATGTTATCTGCCCAGAAATAATAAAAACACAGTAAAAAAGAAGTTTAGTGATAAAGTTGAAGGTGAGGCAAGCATGAACCTTAAGAAACCCAAAGACATTTTCAAAAGCACATTCTCTCAAAATCATAAAAAAAATTGTTGCATTAAATCTTCACTTGGAAATGTGATCCACAGAATAAATGCAATTGTTTTTGCTTTTATTTATGGACCATTTTGGTAACTATGCTGAGTTGTGTGATTTTCAGACACCTCAAAGACAAAATCAGTTTAAAAACCTAGTTTACTCATCATGGTATGACTGTCTGGATATCAAATAACACGCTCCTTATGATAAACTATTATGTTTCTATAAAAAAATAGCCCACACTCGATATACAGTCAACTCTCTCTTAGACAGACACCTTTGGGATGGGCACTAAGTGTCCGTCTTATAGAGAGTCAAATAAAAGGAGTAAAGAAAGGCAGGGACCAACTCTAGGTGTCTGTTAAGAGAGAGTCGACTGTATCAAAATAAAAAAATGACTCTGAGGCTTTCTGGTCATGCTTCTATGTCTGGTTTTCTTTGTTCTCACATCTGGTAATCAGGGGACAATAGAATCATGAAAAACTTGCAAATGTCTTTGCTAGGCCTATGAATAAGTCATGTTCGAATTTTGAAAATCAAGCAAATTGAAAGTGTTGCATAAACATACAATGCCAAACTATTGTTATGAAAAGCAAATTTTAGAGATGAATTTGAAAGAAAATGCCTGATTTATAAGCAGAATAAGAGTAAACGCTAATTTGTTAAATTCTCAAAGACATTTTATACCTTTGTACTTTGGCTTTTTGTTGGTGCTTTCATCTGCTGCAGTGTCTTGCATGGGTGGTGGTGGCATAAGACTTTGATCCACCCCTACTGTTGGAGTTAGGGAGTGGACAAGATTCATGACATTTGTGTCCTTTGGGAGAAGTAAAGGCAATTTGGAAGATAGTGGAATGATTGGAGCCTTCTTTGCCTGAAATATGCAATATGTTATATCAACTCACTTGTTAGGTTTTTAAAACCTACATCTGTTAATGTACATAGGTTGACCTGGCTGTATGACATGCAAAACAACACAGGGTTTTATCTAGTAGGTGGCTGTTGTTGGAAAATTTTACCAGCCAAAAATGAGCTTACACCTGATGCAAATAACACAGGAAAACAAAGACATAGGGTAATTTTTAAGTTGAAGTTAAGTAAAAAGCTGGCTAGACTAACAAAAATCATAATAAGCCTGCCTGCTTAGCTTTTCCTTAGGTACATCCTTGATAACAATGCAAACACTTGAAGGGGTGGTAGGAGTGAAGTTCTAATGAGCAACTCCTAATGACATCAAATGAAGGAGTATGTGAAATGAGTTTAAAAGGCTCCTTTGTCAGATGTCACCGGTGAATCTTGATTTGCTATGGTTGCCTCAGAACTTAATGACACTGCTATGAGCAGATGTCAAATTCTCCCTTTGACTCATAATGAAAACTGCTCAGAGAATCTAGGGTTTTTGTCGGATGTCAATCAGGGCTCAATTCCACACATCCCTTTGGGTTTGCCCCTTGGTTACAAGCACCACAAGGAAATTTAGAAGAAGGATCCAGTTTGGGGCTCATTTTCAAGTCAGTAACAAGTTAAGCAGCAGTACATAGTACGTACAAAAATCAGTTACCTTTTCCTTTTTGGGTTTGGGGTTTTCCTTCCTTGAAGGTGAAGGCTTCAACTGAAAACCCTGTGACACAGCATAATTCTGTGTGTAACAAAAAAGTTCCAGTAATTTAGTCAAGATTACTCCAGGTATATGATATATGCCCCATTCACACCAACTAAACAGGTTAAAAAATGAAAAGCAATGATGGAAAACTGGAACTCAGATTTTTACATGTACACGATATTCAAATAAAATATAACTTACTCTGTAATTTGCACATAATTTGCAATAGAAGAAGTCCGTAAGCAGCTTTTATGAAGAAGACAATTGTGAACCATGTTTAACTAAACAGCTTTTAACCATGTTTAAGCTTTGGTGTGAATGGGGCTATAGATACCAGTACCAGAAAGCTACAAAAATTCAACCAACTTGCTGAGTAAGTTACTGTCATGCCTGTCACACACAGTTTGACATCTTCTTTACTATGCCATCCTATTGCAAAGTTCACTACATTTGTCATGTTAACTTTTGCTTAATGAAGTAAACTCATTACATATGTTTCTAAATTACCTTGAGTTTCACTAGAGTAGTGGGTAGTCTTGATTTCCCATGCCAGACATATCTGTTCTTTGCATATCTGGTGATTACTTCTACACTTTCCAGTACATTAACAATGTCATATATACGTCTTCTTTCTACGCCTAGAAGAAGATTTCAAATAATTTGTTAATTACAAGTACATGTATTACTTAAACTATGGCATTTTTACCTCAGCTTGATTTTGCAGGTACACATGTCCAAGGAAGAAGGGAACGTTAAAGTGGAATGATGGACTACTGATAGTATACTTTCAAATGAAGCATGTATGTGTTAGACGGGAAATGTTTTGCACAAGATCACACCCTTGAAGTTCCCAAACTAAGGTAAAGCCAAAGGTATCCTGATGAACATGGTCAGGGTGCAAAGAAAATCATTTTTACAGCTTACCATTTGGGCAAGCTGAAGCTAGCATTTACTAGCCCAGACGCCATTTCAACTAGCCCCAAAAGCTTTTCGTCAAGCAGAATTGATTTCACACTTCTTCTGTTATTCGAATTCCTCAAAGAACATCATTTGCCCGTAAGGCAAGTTAAAAACAGATTTCACTAGCCTGATAGCAAAATCCACTAGCCCCGGGCTATCGGACACTACCTTCTTTGCACCCTGATTGTACACCTCCCCATCATGGATATGTCCCTTGGTATCAAGGATACCAAACAATATTTTCATGCAAATTTCTAGCTCTGTAAAACAGGCATCTCTGTAAATGGGCACTTGGCTCTTTAGTTGCATTAAGGAGGTTTGACTGCTGAAGTTTCACTTATAAAATGCTTGTTGGCTTATCCTCTGCATAAATTCTCAACTGTTTTAGGCTTGGGGTCTTGCTCTGCTCCAGGAAAATTTAAGAGAGCCCTAAATTAAAAGCTATGGACCTGTGAAATATTTGGAACTGCTTATAATTGAGCATGTCCCTGTCTTATGATTCATCTATATTTTTATTTTATATTAGGAGAGTCTTTCTTACTGAGATCCTTTGCGACGTCATCCAAGCTAATTTCAATAAATTCATTCCTCTTTGGATATTCTGGATATTTTGAGAGAAACCTGTTGCAAATAGAGCATACATACTTGTCTAGAAATACAAAACAGTAGTTTAAGCTACATGCACTTTGAAATTAAGTTACACACTTATGTTTCATTAATTAGAAAGCTTTTAAAATGAGTAAGCCATTACATGTGTAACGCAAGGTTGTGGTCATGCCATTTTCTGTTTGCCTTTTAATTTTAATTTTATTGAAGGTTTCTGTAAAAATTAGTCCTAATCTCGCCTCCAAGGGAAATAAACTATTTAACATCAAGGAAGCATCAGAATAGAACAAAAACAGCAACTATTTTGGCGCGTAAACAAAACGCGTCCACTGTCATTACAAATTCAAACATTGCCACCTCTCGCCAAATTTGGCGCTAAACAGTTAATCACTAGCAACGCTCATATCTCCAATTTTCTACTTACTTCTGGCACAAAAGGCCAAGCGATTTGTCCTTTCTGCTAACAGTTATCTTGTTTCCTCCGCAATCAAGTTGGGAAGACTCTTCTTTTATGAATTTTTCGTCTACAAGTGCTTCAGACTGTTTTGAATTTGAAATAAGCGAGCTCGCCGCCATGTGAAGTGCCTCGAAGGTGTTAGAATTTTGACCAGGAAAGAGTTCCCTTTTCTTTATCTCGCGATCGCGAATTGCCGGGCTTGCAGCACTAACAAGCATTTTAAGATTAGCTGTAGGTGTGAGTGGATCATCACCGGTTTGATTTGTGCAGTTCTTTGATGTATCTGCTAACTTTGGCGGGGTAGCGGGAAGTCCTTGATTCCAAACACTGTTCAGCAGCTGACTTGTAATTTGATGTTTGCAATCTTCGATGCCAGCAACCGGCAAATTCTTTTCCTCCTGCACCAGTGACTCATCAGAAACCATTTTATTCGACACGCAATTTGTAGCTATCGACGAGAGTTCCGCCAGCGAAGGATATCTGGCTAAAGGGATTGATTGTGATGAGCTGTTACACTCACTGTCCGTATCATCAAAATCACTGACGTCTGGGTTCATTTTATCGTCGTTGGCATCCCAGCCTTCAGGAGTTAATAAAACTCGGTTTGATTCCATGTTACCCTTGAAATCATTGAAAGGAAATTTGTATTAGTTTAGCTGGAGGTACAAACAGATGAAATGTATCGTAGTATTAAAATATTCATCTGCTTACTCGTTACAAATTAGATCTCTGATCATGACATACGTTATCTTTGATCTTAAAAACGTTACCAGTTGTCTACAATCACATGATAGTTTTGAAAATCAGTTAATTATTTTCTAAGAAGAAGAAATTTATGCACAGAATATACTAAACATATTTGAGAGCTGACGAAAGACTCGAAAAGCTGGAGCGGGAACACTGAAAGTTCGTGTCGATCGAAGTGATCACGTTAACGTTATGTACCTCACATTTTTACTAACCTCTGTCAAATGCTTATTGAAAAGCAGCTAACACAACGACGTCGATACTTCATAGAGGTGGAAAAATTCACTTTGAGGGCATTTAGAAGCCAAAACGGCTGCAGTAATCACCTCGGCTTTCTTTAGAAGTACAATGGAATCGCTTTGTAGCGGTTGTGACTTTTGGCGCGTTCAATTTTACGCGGGGATTTCGGGTCGTCACCCTCCGTCCCTTTGTTAGCCAATGACATTCACTATTTTTCATCATGTGATCTATACATAAACCAGGCAAGGTAGCTTAGCTCGCTTTCGTTCTCTTGCGGAAGTTGGCAAGACCTGGTTACAAAGTGAGCACGCTCAGCGCGCGCCAACAAAATGGCGGCCACGAGAGGAGGTATATGGAATGCTATTTTTGCTGCTATTTATCTCTTTTGAACGTTTTATTGACGTTTTCTTTCTTTAACTTTTAGGGGTATGGAGACCTTACAAGGAGCTCCAGGCAGTGGTAGAGCGATCACTGTACAAGAAAAGTCCTGAAGTCTATCATGAACTTGAGGTTTCCTTGAAAAAATTTAAACCAGATTTTATCTCTTTACTGAAAAATCCGGTAAGCTCTGTTCAGTTTGCATTGGGTAAGACTCCAAATTAAGCCTAGCTTGTCCAGGCGTTCAACCGTGCCTCACTACTGCGGAGCCTCGATTTAACGAACCTTGGTATAACGAACGATTTTCCTTGAGCCCAGCCAAAATTACACTAAAAATATGTATGGAACAGAACCTCGATTTAACGAAGTCCTCGTTATAACGAACACAATCCACGAGCGCAAACGTAAAATTTACCTCGATATAGCGAATAAATGTCAGCATGTGATAAAAGATGAATGCCAAACAGACCAACAAGGATAGAATTTATGTGTACAGTACATGTGTAGCTTTAAGCAATTTTGTTTGCCTGTTTTTGAGTTCCTAGTGCCGTAGCTATGTATAGCTCAGTAGAAATGTTATCACAGTAGTTTTTCAGATCTAGAAATGCTGGGTTTTATAAATTAATTATTAACTTTACCTCGATATTACGAACATTTAAGTCATTTTCCCGAAAATTCGTTAAATGGAAGTGTTCGATATAACAAACCCTCGATGTAACGAACAAATTTCCCCAGTCCCTCGGCACTTTGTTAAATTAAGGTACCACTGTATTTGAATGCCTGGAAAAGGCTAAATTAAGCCAAAATAAAAGCCTTGTAACTGAACTGTACCAGCTTTGTATACATTCAAATGACAGTTTCTACGATATATATATGTCTGGTGAGGCACAACATCTTGAAAAAAGTTATTAATGTATTCAAAATTTAAAAGCAAAAGTGGGATTGTGGAGCATGACAAGCCACATTGTTATGTAGAAGTCCCGTTTCTTTGTGCAGCAAACTAAAATGACACATCTGCATGCAGGCTTGTGAATGTCAACAAGACAATAACACTTAAAACAAAAAAATAGTATGTCAGAAAACTGGGTTGCAAGACAGGAAGTGCCCTAAAGATAGTATCCTTTTGACAAGATTTTGAAAACAACCGCTTAAATTTAGACCATGAAAAGGTCATACAAATTTCTTAGAGCTTTCACAAGTACAAACCTCGCAATAGGAAATTGAAGTAGCAGGCTAAAAAGGAAACGACTTTGTTTATCTCTGAACACTAGGTGAAAAATGCAGACCATAGAGAACAGTTGAAAAAAGCACCAACCACTGGCCTTCAACTGGCTGGTGATACCGAGAAACAAAAGCTCCCTGAGCAGTTTGTGCAAGAATCTCTCATACTCAGTGATATCCTTGAACTGAACGAGTTTGTTTGTGCGGATTTGCTTCTCGCTGGTGAGCAGCAGCAACCCAATTTTCCTGGTCTAACAAGAGGACTTGTAGCAGTGCTCTTGTATCATGATGGACGGAGGTGTCTAGCCAGTGCTTTGAGAACATTGATCCAGTCACGTGAGGGAATGACATGGACACTTGGTCTATATGAGGACTTAATGCAGTTGGTTACAAAATTTACGGATGAGCTCTTGAAACAAGGTAGTATCAGTCTATTAAGGATGGTTTTCACCAACAATAGAATCAGAGTTGGAGCCATAATCCATTGTAACAGAGTCATTAGAGCAATATCATAAATGTAAAAAATGGAGTCAAGATGCATTCCTCTGGGATGATCAGGATCAGTGAGGTCACTTTATACAGATCGTCCCAATGGAATGCACCCATAAGCTTGACAGTATCAAAGTCATGAGAATCAGAACACAATCCATTTTCTTCTGACTCTACTTATGACTTTGCCACTCATGACCTAATAAAAATGAGATCATTGGATGCAAAAGCAGATTGAAGGGTAATCTGGTCATAATGCTTGTTCTTAAAGTTTTTTGTTGATTTAGTTCTTCCACCTCTGCCTTCAACACTGTTTTCACAAGTCAAAGAACATGTCACCAAACTCCCTTCTTCTCATTATGACTACCTGTCTTTACTCAATCCAACCAAAGTATCTCCTTACTGAAAAGTTAGCAATACGTTAATGAATATGAACACATTATACATAATTACACCTACATCTTATAAGTTGAGCATCATGGAAAATATTGCCAGAAAATGATTCTTAGCTTTTGGTACTGGTAAGCTCCACTGTGAAACAACATCTAAAAACTATACATTGGGAACAATTTTGTTCCTGCAAATATAATATTATTACTGTCTTGCACCTGTTCATTATCTTTGCTTTATCTTGTCTTCTAGGATTAACAACAACAATTCTTCAACAACTTGATCAGCTTGATGTTCAAAAAGAACTTGATAAGCTTGAAAGAGGACAAGCAATAGGAGATGAACGTCACAAACAGCAACTAATAGACTTCATTACAGATCAAAGACAGCTTTTAGCAGAATGTCTCTTCTGCTTTGCTTGTCAATCACCTCTCCCAAGAAGTGACTGTCTTCAACTATTGTCCTTTCTTAAGAAGTGTCCATCCACTGAGGCAGATGGGACACTGGACAGTGTCACTCTTACTTTGTTGATGACTATGTTGTATTGTTTAAATGTCGATCCTCTTGATGAAGCAGCAGAAATGCAATCTTCTTTTCGAGGTGAGGAGTACTACATTATTCTTGTTCTTTTCTTCGTGCTTTATCTTCCAGGTGCAGGGTTGTCAAAAGTAGCTGGCTGCCGGCGAAAATCGCCGCCTACTTGATTGGTATCGGCCAGCTACTCTGCTTCACATCTCTTTACAGATGGCATTTTTTAAATAAAATATCCCTGGACTGGCTGCTTACTTTGACAACTCATCCGTCTACTTCAAAACTTTCTGACAACCCTGCAGGTGTAGCATGATTTAATTCAAGACAGAAATCTTTTGTTCATGCTGTGTGTGACTACAAAACTGAGCACATTACTCAGTTTATTGCTGCACTTTTCGATAACACAAACTCTGAAACTTAAAATTCAGCTTATAATAAATAGCATTTTTCGCCACTGTCAATCATAATTACAATCACAAGCAACCGACTTTGAATCACAGAAACACACAAAACATAGCCTGCGAGCAAGCTCTCCTATTTGAGCAAGAGAAGCGAGCCTCGGGAGAATGCGCGAGCGAGGGGCTGAGGAAAGGAGAGCTTGCAACGATCTCTTATAAATATTCATTTCCACCCCGGAAACCCCAGGACTCCGCAAAGCATGAAAACTGTCACCGCAAACGTGCTGCAGATTAGAAAAGTGACAACTGCCTGTCAAGTAAGTTTAGACAGCCGAGGGCGCGTAGAATTATTTATTTATAAATCGCTTTCGCAACAGCATCAAGGCAATGTTTTTAATGACTGATATGTTTTTCTTTTTCACGGGGACATCGAACTTCAACGTGTCCGCTCGGATAAGAACTCACTACTTTGATTCTCGTTTCGTTTACTTTTGAAAAGTCGTCCATACTGTAGTGTAGAAGACTACTCCCCACCGCAATCACCAACACAAACATCATATATTTGTCCGTCTGGAACTGGAGAATAGCGTTTTCCTGCACTCGGTTCTCTTAAGGTTTACTCCAGTTGCTTCCAACTCTTTCTCTTTTCCTTCTTTACGGTCAAGCTACACAGCTACACTGTCAAGTACATGTTTCTGAATTTTTCTACCCAGCAGAATTCAATCGGGCGAAGAAACCGATGTTGGAAGACAGCGCTTTAATCACTCTTCACTTTCACTCTTCCGGTTTTCAGAACTAAACAAGGTGCTTGACACAAATGAATATAACTGATGAAGGGTTTTCATTGTCCTTCCACAAGAACTACAAACTCGGTCCGACTTATTCTCGGCACGCTATATTCTCTTTGCGACAATTACATCAAACGAGCCCGTCTGCATTGAGGGCTGAAATAAGTTCTTTCTGTACCAATCCCCCTGAGAACCAAATTTGACACACAGACGAAGCGGGTGCCAGCTTGGCCTGTTATCAATCAACTTTGATTTCCGGAACTTCATTTTTCAGCCAATGGTATTTCCCTTCGTCTGGGCGAAGTACAAATGAAAATTTGTAAGGGATCGTTGCAAGCTCTCCTTTCCTCTGCCCCTTGCGGCTTCGCCGCTCGCTCGCATGTTCTCGCGAGACCTGTTTCACTTGCCCAAACAGAAGAGCTTGCTCGCAGGCTACACAAAACAGATCAAAGTCCACTGATACCAAATCACAAACCATGACCTTTTGAACTCTTAAAGTAAACAATTGTTTCCCAAGAGGTCTGCTAAGATGACTGACAGCAGCTGTTAGTTGGCTTTTAAAGTTCAGAATGCCAGTATTTTTGAAAAGTGTAGTTATTATAGATTTAAGAAAGTGACTTGGGCAATTGATTTTGTAAGCTAGTGTTTTCTCTTTTGAGTAGTTTCGTAAGTCATTACTCAATTTGTACAAACTCTGTTGGTATCTACAATCATCTATGATACCTGGTGAAATCTGCTAACTAGTGTATATTGAACATTTTTTTACAGAGGAAAATTTTCCATTGTTGTCAGACCACAGTTTTATTCCAGAGTTTCATCAGGAAATCATTCAGGAAGGCACTTGGGAAAATCCAGGGTTGTGCGCGTGCATCCAGTTTGCTTGGGCATTAGTACTCCGATCTTGCAGCCAGTGGCCAAATCTTGTTGGGGCTGTTGAAGTCCTTGAGGAAGATGAAGGAGTTCTGGATCTTGCTGTGGATGAAAATGTGTTTGGTTTTCTTCGGTACTGTGTTCTAGGAGCAAGTAATTTTCACCAAGAGGTATTTGTAGATCCCAGTTCTACCACCCTTCATTGAATGATACTGCTTTACCGCTGCTAGGGATTTTTATGGAAATGAAGGCCAGATTCGTTTTATTTTAATTGTTTATATATTTTAGCTTACTATACTTATTAGATTGTAAATAGTTGTGTATTTCATGAGGGCCACAAGTTTATTAGCCTTTGGCTATTAAGTGCTACCCTCTTTAAATAAAGGCTTTATCATTATTATTATTATTTATATTATTCTTTGGAATGTACTGGTACTTGCCATTAAAATGTTTAACAGTGCCGTTCCTTGAAGACGCTTTTGGAAATTATAGATTGAAGTGTATATGACAAGATTTTTTTAATTTGCTCGGTGGACTCTACACACTGTCCTTCTGGTGGGGTACAAAAACATGCAACTGAAAATAGGAGACTGGGAATGTTTGTGACCTCATGTCAGTTAGGTCATTCTGTTTCATGGCAAGCAAATTTTCCTCTTATTTATTTCTCTCTGCAAAACAGAATATCCTGAAATGATATCACAATCGTTGCCAGTCTCCTGTTTACATTCTCACAGTTTTGTACCCCACCAGAAGTGAAATTTCATGTTTTTGGTACTTCAAAAGACAGCAAACAAAAAATTATGTCATATACAGTCACTTTTATTTAAAGCACTTTTTGATTCAAACAGTACCAGTGGACTCACCAAAATTAAAGGCTACACTGGAGGCAAATTTTCTAAATATTTACCTTTGTTAATAATCTTATTCTTAGGATCACCTAAATAATAAACAAAAATTTAATGTGCTTTCTGACTTTGCCAAGGTTTCCAAGAGCAAAAACTACAGTTTTCAAGATGATAAGTTGTATTTATGAAAGTAAAATAATGTAATCTTTTTTTCAGGAGTACTTTGTTCAAAGATTACACTCCTTAGTAACAGGCTTCGTTGTTAAGATGCCATTGAAGGTATGGCTTTTGTCAGATTTCTTACCACAAATCCTCTTCATTCTCCCCAAGACACAATATTATTGTAAGTTTAAAGTTGTTTGTCTCTTTACAAACACATAGGTCAAGGAGCTACGTAACCATGGTGATGAAGCTGCGCGGATCCTTCAAGCACACAAACTAGATGGTGTAGAACCACCTGCTGGTCTGCCGAGACACTTTGAAGACTTCATGAGAATGGTTTGTGGGAAAATCATGTAAAAAATATAAAATTAATAATCGTTAGTCCTCCTACTGACTCATTTTAGTACAGCTTTAAACTACATTTTAATGGTTTTTTGTCATTGAGGTTATCGTTAGTAGACGTTTTTATCTATTATTTCAATTCATGTCAACTAATAATACTAATAAAAAGTAATAACAATAATAACAAGAACATTAACAAAAAAAGAGCCATTGGGGTTGTGCAAAAGAGCCAGAAACCCCATACATTATGTGTCTGGAGCGGTTTTTTTTATCATTTGCATTTTTGTTCATGTACACGGTTACTTTGATTCTTGGTTTTCCTTGTTCCCTAGCCCTGGGATACAAAGGAAGTTGAGAATCAACCTAGGTTAAGAAGTTTTAACTTGAATTCAAATTTGACCTCTAATGCATATACAAGTATTCTGAGAACTGTACAACTTGAAGACTGATGTATAGAAAAATACAAGTAGTTGTTAGAGGATATGGAATGAGAGTATAGCCAGGGAAAATACAAGATGAAAGTTGCAGAGAATTCTCATAAGAAAGTTTTTTTAGGTGCAGACAAGGCCAAATGATCTTTTTTTTTCTGCAGATTGGAGAGCTGTATGATGATGATCCATCAGGCCTTGAACTTGCTACAGAATTCTGGTGTCCTACAGACACAAGCTTGTCAGCTCCCTTTTCGCCTTACAGTTCCTCTAGAATTTCACCAGCCGTAAGGCAGCGTGCTTCACAGAAACAGGTAGTTATTTACGATGGCTGAAGGCCAGCGACAAGTTGTTGAAAATGAAGAAATCATGATTAAACTTTGCTTTAAGGTGAATTAACCAGATAGTCTGACAGTGGTCAGCAGTGTTAACTCAGGTGTGAAGAGGTCATTGAAGTCAAGGGAACATTCTGTCGCTAAATTCGATTTGTAAGAACTCTTTGGATCTTTAATCCTATACTCCCAGTGTCCTTTGCCAAGAGGTATTAAAAAACATAGTTACATATTTTGAGTCTGTGGATGAAATCCTTTGATGTGACCATTTATGTTGCTCTCTTATCATAGTGATGGTTCCATTGTTATACAATCAAATGTGGGAAATCTTGACTTGGACTTTCATTTTTGCCTCGTCTGGAAGTGAAAGATCAAAAGAACCTCTCCTGAGGACAACATTAATTTTTTTACACATCTTTTTAAGTACTGCAGTTGTCTGTACTAATTTTCTGGTTTTTCATTGTGATGGCTTTCACTTGCAATTTATTTGAAGCAGAAAAATTCAGTCTACTCAAAAGTAAGTTACCATGCCAGTCGCATCTCGGTTCCTGGTGTAAGTATCAGTGAAGCTGGAATTTTTGGCATACATTTTCTATGACCCATCCTGTGTTAAACCAACTAATTTTGCTTAACATTATCTTGGAGACAGAAACAAATGGGTGTTAGGATTTTGGATAATTTTAAAGTTTCCTCGAGCTTGTCATCAGCATGGTATTTAAATGGAATTTTTGAGTTTTTGGATAATGTTATAGCGATAGATATTTGACCTTTTGGTTGCTGAAACATGAAAACTGCTTGTGGTGTCATTGAGTTTGTGAATGAACACACCCCTACAGAAGAAACAAAAATTCCATAACTCGTATGTATGACGTATCTTTGCTTAGGTTAGTCTCAACAAGTTTCTTCGCTTGGCTGGAGATCTTTTGCCGCCTTCACTGTTTGTACCATATATGGAGATGTTAACAGGCCTCTCAAACAGCCCTCAAGCTGCTCATTACTGCTTTAACCTCCTCAAATCCACGGCAAATGGACCTGTATCTTGGGATCACTTCTTTGCTTCTATAAAACAGTATTACATGGATCTAAGACAGGATGGTGCACATGCAGGTAGATTACTATATTATATGTTCATTAATAGTCGTTTTTTCTTTTTTTTTTTATAATTATGCATGTTGTCTAGCCTGGTTGTTTCATAACATTGTCATGAGTGCATGCAACAATTATCCAGTTTTCCAGTTACCAAAAAGTTTTCTTTTTCTTGAATGTATAATATGATATTTACCTTGACTGATGTAGAATAAGGTTAGAACATGCTAGGTGACAAGATGCAGCAACACGTTGCTGTGACACTTCACAGCAACAAATGCTTTGTGTGTACTGGAGAACTTTTTGTGAAAATCTTTGTGTCCATAATTTGATTTTATGCAACTTGTTGGGGCGACAAAATTCTGTTGCTGAGACAGATTTTTCCAAAAATTCTCCAGTATCACCTGAAACAATTTGTCGCTGCTAGTGTCGCACAATTTGTCCTTCTACCTGTACACAAGAAGTTACTCTTCGCTGTGACGTGTTGCAGTAACATGTACCCTAGTGTGTTCCAATCTTTAGGTAGCTTGGAAATAAGAAAAAAACTGCTTAATCATTACCTGTTTCATTTGTTTTTTTAGGGTGTAAGATGCTTATGTTGCCATTGTTAATCCTTGAACTTGTTTCTCTTTAGTTACAATATATGGAGGACTAAACAGGGATACCAGTCACATTCACAGGCCAGCTCACCTTTCAAATCGCATCATAACACAAGAGGAGTTAGAAGGTCTAGAGTCAGTGTTGAGACTGACAGAGAGAGTGGCGGATCAGGTGGGATGTTACAAGACAATTTTACTTGCCTTAGCCGATAGTATAGAGTTCTTCCTAGTTGTGGAAAAAAGCTCGGAAAAGGACCCTAATGAACTTACCCATACATGTTCATGTAAGGTAAAGGTAAAGACTGAATGTTAGCTAAGTGGACCAGAGCTTATGCCTTTAGCATAAATCAACTAAGAATATAGGATGCCAGTCCATCACTGGGTTACCTTTTCACTAATGCCCATTTGGGTTAAGTGAGGCACTGCTTGTGAGAGTCAAGTGTCCTGCCCAAGAACACAACACAGTATGGTAAAATTTGAGTCTGGTGCGCGCCCTATTTTTAGAGATAGCAGGTTTTTGCCTTCTAGGATGAAAAAGCTCGTTTGGCTATGTGTGAAAGTCAAGCTTGGCTTCCCATTGCATCGTTGTTTGGTCTGCTTGGTTGCCCTGTGCCTGTGAGCCTCAAGGCTCAGATTCTCTCCACACTTGCAGCATTTGCAAAGTCTCCTGAAGTTGCTTCATCAATGTGGCATACCTTAGAACTTTCGCAGGTGTGTTAAGACTGTCAATATTAAATATCCACGTCACTCAGTAAAAAAGATCACTGATTGACCCATTTTTATTTTATATTATGTGTATAACAGCACTGTATTATAAAAACGTAAAGTGCGTATTAATTATGTATATGTGCATTAATTACATATATTTAATTTTGTTTATTGAAGATATTCACACTGGGAGATGTAAGAGGGAGTTTTAAGCAAACATGAGTTTAAGCAATGGCAATGGGAACATTAAACAAGCAATAGGTTCAAAAAGCAAAATTATGAACAATAACTTCTGCATGTACATCACATGTTTTTTACATCTTTGCTGTGACTGTGAACTTCACAACATGACATTTTACAGACAACGTAAACAGTCAACCACAAACTTCTCTTGCCCTGTTGAAAGTCATGGCTTCCTAAAAGTTCATCTCAAGGAAAGTTTGCCAACATTTGACCAATTAAGTCACTTTAAATAATTGCAATGAAATTTAAGGAATGCAAATACATTTTATGATGACTTTTTTACTGCCATCACCATTATAGATTTTTAAACTGGTCGTCTGACAGTTCACTTGTTCTTTGTTTTATTCAACCCTAACTCTCTCAGTTCCAAAGGCACATATTAGTGGTTCAGGGTCTGGTTCCTGAAAGGCCAATTAGTGCTAATCCAGGATTAAAATTTTGTTCCACTTTTTGTATTTACCTTCCTATGAACTGTGTAGAGTTACATTTTGTGTTATCAATACTGTATCTCAGACTAAAGGCTCAACAGTATTTTGCAAGTTTGAGTTACATGTTCTTAGACAAGAAAACCCTTCTTAAAATTTGGCTTAATCTTGGGTTAAACTTAACTATCTTTCAAGGAGCCAGGCCCTGCAGTTGTTAAACTTTTATACCTTCAACCACATGGCCTTTTTTTTCCATCTCTTGTCCTTTAATAAACAGTTGTGACTCAAATATAAATGTCATTAAGATAATTCTTTTCTTAAAAGCTTTGCATATTACCTGACTCCTTTTTTTTAATCTGGAATATTTGGAATTTTTGGTCAGATTTTGCAGACTGTTACACCAACTGGTCAAGCTGTCCAACAAGGTGGAATACAGGTGATAAAGTACTAATTTTAGTATCATACAGAGAGCTTTCAATAATTTATTTGACATTGCAGATCCTACCAGTCTATGGGATGCCTGATCTAATCTTACTTATTAATTTTTTAAACAGTTTCGGTAGGTTA